AACCTGGCACGTTTGCACCCAACCAAAGAAGCTGTGCAAAAGTGGTAAAAGGTGGAGAAGGATGCCACAGAGTGGGGTTGGTCGAAGAACTCCCATGAGTCAATTCAATTCCAACATCAACATTTTGCGAACTAGTTCATCTAATCGCTCTCATTTGAGTGCAAGCACAGATCTGGACCAGTCATAGCGTAATGGCGGTTAGTGGAAGTCAAAGTGAGTTGATATACAAGGTGTTTTTGAAATAAGTGCACATATTCAGCATATTAATATGATACTATTACGTTATTCGGGTGCAGAAGCGAACACGACACTATTTATTTTCGAACTGATTTATTTGAACTAAAGAAACACTAATTTATATCCGAACTTATTACTACTATTTATGTAAAACGATTTATAACACGCGGTATGACACTCGCTGCTTGACTGACTGACTCAGTTGTTCGGCCGTCTTATAAATAAGATCCATTGGTAGGCTTTGGTTCGAGAACGTTCTCGAATGATCTCCCGTCTCCTTCTTTTTGTTCTAGAAGCTTCTTAGAACAATACCTCTCTCTCTAATTGTTCCATCGATTGTTTCCAGAACATTCCAGAATCTTCTGACACGTTATTTGTCACCGCGGCATATATTGAGTGTTCGGAAATATGCTGGTGCATGTAGGAATCATTGAGAGGTTGGAGAACAATCTGGGATGCGTGCCTTCCTGCTGATGTTTCTAGAGCCCCTCTAAGGGGAATATCATTACAATACAGTCTAAGGAATATTCCCATGACATCAGATTTTTTCTAATTCTTCTAATTAACGAGAAATTTCATCCCGAAAATTGAACAAAATACGAGAAAAAAATCAAGTATGCCACTTTAAAACAATTTAAATGATTGAACTCCGCGTGATTGTGCCTACCGCATGGAAATTTGAACAGATATGACGTCAGATTCGCTACAGTGTGTTCAATAGATATAATTCAATGTTCGTCGTGGGATATAGCCAGAAAAGTAGTTGTTTTCTATTGAATAAACTGAAAAAGAGTCGATATTTTCATTACATAGAGAATGCGAATTCTCAATGTATTGCTTTATATAAATATATATCCATTTTTGTATGTTCATAATTTATCTGAGAATATTCCTTTTCAACTCTAACCTCAAATTTTATTTTGATCCCTAATTTTTTTTTATTATTGCCATTCGATAGAACACGTAGATCTTCCCCAGTGTTCAAAATATTTGCACTTATTTCAATGGCACCCTGTATATGTGAGAAAATATATTTTGCCAATTTGAAACAGAAATACAGGGCAGTATTTGAATTCGGGGCGAAACTTCAACGAACGCTATTTCAACAACGTCTCCATGTTATCTCCTGAAATTCAGCAGCAACTAACATCTAGTGATACTCCATAAGATGGCCTACTATGTAAAAAAATGCCAGAGCCGGACTTGGGAAATTCATTTTCTTTATAAATGTCATGGTTTTGACTTTCTGGATCGTATTTTTCAAAAACTCTCATCAGAATCAGGAAGATCAGGAAAAACACTACAAGTATAGTATCTTGTATGGCACACTTTGACCAAATTGCTAAAAAAATTTCGAACAAAATACCGATGAACGTTTCCATGATTTCGCACGGGCGTATTGTAGTCACATCATTCAACAAATCATTTAAAGCCATTCCTTGCATATCGGTGTATCATGAGAGATGGGAAGAGGCTCTATTCGATAAAAATTCCAGAACCGGACTTGCTATTCTGGATTTGAAATATGTTTCTTTCTTTATGTGCAAATGTAAAAAAAATTGTACTCAATATGAAGATGAAGATATGGATGTGAAAAAATGTATTGAGGTATTTTCTTTCAACACGATGGGGCACCTCCACAGTACTCAATCCAAGTAGAACACCCAATTCTCTAATCGCTGAATAGGTCGTGGCGGCCCTCATCATTCTTCAATGATTGGTATATCAGACTGAAGTCAACACTAGAGAGGAGCTGAGGAAAAGGATAGTTATAGATTCAGATACGATCAGAAATAATAGGCAAATTATTCGAAAAACCATGAGAGATCTCCTGAAGAGATGCAGAAAATGTAAAGAAATTGGAGGAGGACATTTTGAGAATCTTCGTTGAAGAATATTAAGATACAGACAAATCTTGTTCGAAAATCATAATTGTTTTGTAGTTTTTTCCAAAAATCAAGTCCGATGCTGAATTTCTTTATAGGAATAAACCTATTCTCAACTTTGCTGCTATATGAATACTCCAAAAAATGTAGAGTAGAGTGGCCGGACGAAATCGAAGAAACATTCATCAGTTTTTTTTTTGAATTTTTTTTTACCAAATCGGTCGAAGTGTGCCCTACAAATTGAAAAGCTGCACTTGTAGTGTTTTTCCTAATTTTTCTGATTCTGATGAAATTTATTGAAAAATACGAACCAGAAAGTCAAAATTATGACATTTATAACCCTTAGACTCCCGAGAATGATTTGGAAAGTATTGTCGAAAAATTTCTGATAGATGTGACTTAGAAATATCATTCCTGTGAAATACAAATGTATTTACTTTTGCCTCCCACATTCAAATTCACAATATTTAATTTCTATTTGGGGAGCACAAATATTTCACGTCTCAAACCACTAATGAAATTATCAAACAAATCAATTAAGTGCAATTTTCATCTAAATGTTCTAGAACCAACAGTTAATTTGTAAAAACCTAGAAAATTTCTAAATATGATTGATATATGATGACTCACCCTGTACTATACAGGGTGTCCGCTAAAAGGACAACAATATATTCTTTGTGCAAAAACAATATGAGTTTCTGAATACCATTTTTCATTTTAGCCCTTCATATTCGATATACATGGTGTCAAAGTTGGAAATTGAAAACTGTTTTTTTTTTTATTACTCGCGTATTTAATGAGATATTGATCTCAAAATTGGTACATTACTTCAGCACAAAGAGTTACATCGTGTGAGGAAAACAAAACAGAAAATAACTGTCAAATATTCAAAATACTAGGGGTCAAGTACACACTTACCCCCATATTTTTTTTGTACGTGCGCTAATGACTTCCTATCTATCTTTCTTCAAGTGTTCAATCATTTTTGAGTATTTTTTGTCTTTTGTAAAATTTCGATAAAATTATTTGTTTTCAAGATAATTCGAAAAGTACTGGTTATTGTTTGATGCCTATGCGGCTTACGGTTATCTCATAATGTTCACATAGTCCTATTTATTTCGTCAAAATCGGAAGAGGGCGTAACTTTTTACGTACGAAAAGGTAAATATGGAAATACCGGGTGCTCAGGGCGCATTTACTAAAATAATTTTCACAAAAAAAATTTATATAAATTCAACACGTCTAAAAAAAAGGTTGATCGATATGACCTCCAATTTTACAAAAGACAAAAAATACTCAAAAATGATTGAACACTTGAAGAAAAATAGATAGGAAGTCATTAGCGCACGTACCAAAAAAATATGGGGGTAAGTGTGTACTTGGCCCCCAGTATTTTGAATATTTGACAGTTATTTTCTGTTTGGTTTTCCTCACACGATGTTATTTTTAGTGCTGAAGTAATGTACCAATTTTGAGATTAATATATTTTTAAATACGCGAGTAATGAAAAAAAAAATCGTTTTTAATTTCAAACTTTGACACCCTGTATATCGAATATGAAAGGCTGAAATGAAAAATGGTATTCAAGAAACTCATATTGTTTTTGTTCAAGGAATATATGATTAATGGATTGACCTCCTTTTAGCGGACACCCTGTATATCTATATTTCTGATCGGCGAGAATGAGGGTGAATCCGACGATCCTTCATCTTCAAAACAGCACGTTGAGACGGATAAATACAGTCCCGGAATACTACCGTGATCAACCAGGACCCTCGAGAAAACTTAAACATTGAGTATTTATAGTTTTTGATTTGCGAGATTTTATAATAATTCGAATATAAAAATACACTCCTCCACTTTCAAGTATGTTTCTCAAGGCTAATGGTGACATATTGTAATTGAAAGAATTTAGGCTTTTTTACAAAAGTATTTTATCTTGAAAACCATTGACAGTACAGAGTTGCAATTCAACTGAAATTGTTGCAAATTCATTTTACTTCAAAAACTTGAATCCCATCTAACATCGAAAAACGTATAGTTTATAGGTTATATCTGAAAAAATTCCAAATATTTCAAGGCTCTGTCTACACGACTGCCGCGGCGGTTGGATACTGAAACATGAACAACCGCCTCGGCGGTTACCTTTTTTTATATAGAAGACCGCCGTGAAATCCGCCGCGGCGGTTTGATACTGATACATAAACAACCGCCGCCGGTTAACTATTTTTATATAGAAGACCGCCGTGAAACATGAGGAAGGAAAATATCGTTTCTGCATGAAAAAGGAGACTACTTTTTGCAAAGAAACTAACCTAACTCGCCTAAATAAACCTTTCTCCTGAGAAGTATATTTTTCGAAAAAGTATTTGTGAGAAAAAGTTTAGAAAGTTAGGCCTCGCAGTGGTTGAACCCGAGTCACCGCCGTGGTGGTCAGGTACACTGTCAACTGAGCTATCGCTTTGCTCGGAAGTACTCCCTATGAAGAAGGAAGAAATATCGTCGCGGCGGTTGTTTATGTATCAGTATCCAACCGCCGCCGCGGTCGTTTATAAATCAGTATCCAACCGCCGCTGCGGTCGTTTATGAATCAGTATCCAACCGCCGCGGCGGTCGTTTATGAATCATTATCCAACCGCCTCGGCGGTCGTTTATGAATCAGTATCTAACCGCCGCGGCGGTCGTGTAGACAGTATCAACGTATTACGAACACAGGCTTTTCGTTGCTGTGAACTTGAGTTCATACTACCCTAACTGGTCCAATCGATATATCAAAAACTAAAACTACACCAGGCTTTGCGTTTTAGCATTTTTTTAAGTAGGGTGTTATAGGCGTACAAAGAGCGAAAAAGAAATAGAATAGGTACAAAATATTACCTGCAACTTTTGTGGTTCTCTTTTGATTTTGTTTTCGAGGGTTTGTTTTCGGAACTTTGAAAACTGGTTCTTCTTGGGGATTATTTGCAATTTTCACCGGCTGTTTCCTCGATGATCTACTCGAAGAATAGTCGTGATGTATTGAATGTTTTGTTGGAGTTTTTTCATCCACACCCCCTATGACATTTTCATCTGGAAGCAAATTTTGCCGTGATACATTATCTGCAGTTGGAACGCCGGCATAATTAGGAACAATCGGTCCCAAATATTCAACACTACTGATTTTCACAGCTTTGGTTTGTTTTTTTTGTACTGTGGCATCTGGTAACTCGACTTCTCTGGTTCCGAGTTGATTTCTTAAGGTTTCCTCATTGGGGTGTACAATTTCAATTCGAGGTCCAACTGCATGGACTGTGGGCTCCTCTTCCACCCCACTATCACTGCTAATGGGACGATGTTTAAATTGGCTCCTCTCCAATGGTTGCTTTTGCTTGATAGGGTTTCTGGTTTTTGAGTTGTGTCTGTTCACATTTGGTGTTTGATCATTTTGAAGGGGTGTAATTTCAGGCATAGCAGACTCATTCGCTACAGGCTCCAGTGGTACAACATTATTCTCAGCTGTACTCACCTCTGAAGGTATTGTTTTTATTTTTAGAACACAGCTTTTTGTATTCTTCCTGATGGTATTGTTTTCATCATAATTGATATTTACTGATGGGTTTTGAGTACCAGGAGTATGTTTTGTAGATTCTGGTGCGAGTGGCGATTTGATTGCAGCTAGTTTAGATGTATCAAGAGTTAATCTATGTTGTGATCTTGTTGAGGTTCTACAATTTGTTTGTTCTTCTGTTGAGCCCACGCTTCTCTGAAGATCTAGGTGATTAGTTCTCTGTTCTCTGCTTCTTTTTGGTGTGTAAACTAAGTATCTTTTTTCTATTTTAGCGCTCAATTTTGTTGGTGATTCTGGAATATTTTTATCAATGAGGTCATCAGTTAAGGTGGGTTCATCAGATGAAATATCTGCTTGGATATTCGAAACAGCATCGGGAGTTTCTTCATCATCCGTATCTTTCCCATGGGGATAGAAGAAAACTCTATCAGATGATAATTGCCTCCTATCCCCAGATTTAGCACATTCTGCAGTATTCATTCTCTGTGATTCACGTGTATAGTCTTGCCTTTTCTTTTTAATTTCTGTTACAATGTCACATGATTCATCCGCTACTTGGTTTCCTTCTAAAATTTTTTGAGTGTTATTTATGAAATTAAGTTTCACACTGAATCTGTTTGAATTTCTAATTAATGGAGGTTCAAACCTCCAAGGCACATCTTTACTTGTTTCAAGGCACAACTCATTCTCATCATCACTGGATGTGAAATATTCTTGTTCTCTTGGTAGACTGGCAAATAACCTGTTTTCTTCTTCCATTTCAGTATCCCCATACAATCTAGTTTGGTATTCTTCAACGATTTGCAAAATGCTGCTATGATCAGAAAAACCACTGCTGGATTGCTCAGCATCGGAAACACACATTATTTCTTTATCAACCTTATCAATATTCCTGTTATCTAGTTCTTCCGTTTGAGTTTGCGTCTTCATACATGTATCATTGGAACTTGTATTTTGCAGAGGTGGATCTGACACAACATTCAAGGAAGTCTGTACTTGTTTGTGATGTGTTGTAAGTCTCGAAATTAAATTATCGAACTGCTGGCATTTTTTCTTCTTATTTTCATCTGAACTCTCACTGGAATCAGTGAACATCTTATCCATGTTAATATTATTCTCTTTTCCTGGATAAGTAGATGTGCTTATATGTCTCAAACACATCCCAGGTCCATTTTGTTCAGAATGTGCCACCTTATGAAGAACGTTAATATCATTCTCTATTCCTGGATGAGTAGATGTGCTCATATCTTTTAAACACTTCCCAGGTCCATTTTGTTCAGAATGTGCCACCTTATGAGGAACGTCAATAGTATTCTCTTTTCCTAGATGAGTAGATGTGCTCATATCTTTCAAACACTTCCCAGGTCCATTTTGTTCAGAATGTGCCACCTTATGAGGAACGTTAATATTATTCTCTTTTCCTGGATCAGTAGATGTGCTCATATCTTTCAAACACTTCCCAGGTCCATTTTGTTCAGAATGTGCCACCTTATAAGGAACGTTAATATTATTCTCTTTTCCTGAATGAGTAGATGTGCTTATATCTTTAAAACACTTCGCAGGTCCATTTTGTTCAGAATGTGCCACCTCATGAGGAACAGATTCAACATTAATAGAAGTTCCAATATTTTTCACCATTTTAGTTGGCATTTCTTTATCCTTCTTCAAGTTATTAGTACTTGAAGTGTTGTTTCCTGGATTATTTTTATTTATTGTTTGGGAGGTTGACGTTTCCTTTCTTTTTAATTTCTTTCTGCGGGGAGCTGGTTTTGGGGGTATTTTCTTTTCCTCAGATAAACTTTTCTCCATACTTGGGAAGTGAATAGTTCTTGATGACTGAGCCTTAGGTAACGGATCTCTTTTTTCAACATTTTCTCGTGATTTGCTCCTGCTACGAAGTATAGGAATTTTTGAAGTTATTTCTTCTGTCATTTTCACATTCTGATTACTGCATTTGATTACTGGGGTGTCACTCGGTAACTTTTCAAGTCGGACAGACATTGTCATGATATTTGGACTTTCAGTACAAGTGGATATTTTTTTGTGTGGAGATTTGATGACTTCAATGCTAGAAGTTGGAGTCTGCCCTCCAATCACCTTTTTTGTATTCAATGATTTCTCAGATACTAATGTACTATTGTCATTTATTGAATTCGGCTCATGACTGCACTTTGTTGTTTTTGTGGAAGTCAATAATTTTTCAGTATTATCAAAATGATTGTCATTGGCTTCTTCAATTGGAGTCAGAGGTAGACTTTGTCGACCTTTCGACACAGGACAAGAAGCATTTTTATTGATGGACTTTTCAGTTACATTCATACTCCGTAGCATCATGGAGATACTTGTATTACTTTTCGAATATTTAGAATCGGTTATGTCTTCCGAGGTGGATTTTTTTATCGTACGTTTAGCACTTCGCTCATCTTTTGATTGTTCAAAATCAATGTCATTTTTCTTTGATTCACTTTGTAATTTGCTCCCAGATTTGTCATTTTTTTTACGGCCAGGTGATTTCCGCTTTGTAATATTTTCCATTTTCTCCTTAACCGAATTATTATCTTTAGCTACACTTTCCATCCCAATTTCCGAATTTGGTTCACTGCCTTTCTCTTTATCAAGAGATATATTTCCTTTTTTATTTTGCTGTTGTGAGTCTTTCGTCAAATACTTTCTCATTCCTCTGGTCTTATAAGTCTTGACCTCATTACTTCCTTTAGTTGCGTCAAGATCATTTTCAGAAGAGTCCACTATAACAATATCTTGTTCAGTGATTTTAGGCTCACCTTGACCCTGAAGATTCTGAACTTCATTGTCAATAGTCACATCGACATCTACATGAATAGGGGATATGTTCAAGGAGCTCTCTGTGGAGAAAACATTTCCTCTTTGTTTCAACATCGGAGTACTACTTATCATTGTCGCCCTGTTTTTCAGTGTCCTTGTAATTATTGATCTACGAATTGGATCTTTTGGAAGATTTTGTTCCGCATTATTGAAAATATTTCTTCTTTCCACATCGTTTCCAATGTCCTGTAATTGAAAAGAATAATTTGAAATATTCATGAGAGCACAGACATTTTTTAATATCCATAGTTAACATCATAGATATTTGTCAATAATTAGTGATGTAAGATTCTCGAGACAGTATTTTTGGAGAACGTTTCCCGAGCACGAACGAGCATGAACGAGAATAAATGACCATAAACGAACAAAAGTTGACATTCTATGTTTGGTGTGTAGTAAAGTATTCAAAAACTCAATTTTCCGCGGTTTCAGAACGAAACATAGGTTTATTAATTTTGATCGAAATATGATGGTTGTAAATAAAATAGTATACAAACCTCGGTAGGGAGTTTCATTCCTGTCTCGAGAATATAGCTAACCTCGACGATTTGCGTCTCGGTTAACTAACTAATCTCACGACAGGAATGAACCACTTCCCACCTCGGTGTGTGATATACTATTCCTTACCCTATGTAATGAAATGTTCATAAGATACAAGTACTTCCTAGAACAACAATGTTATTGTCTTCCAGTATCATTTGACCCATTACGGATTCGGGACATTTTACACATTTGATTAAATGATTTGCCATTTCTGTGGCATGCCGGCTGTATTCACAATTACAAAATTTGCAAGAATAATACACGTCCTTTCCATTTTGTTTTTATAAAGAGAGAACTCAAATGCCTCGCATTTTCTTCATGACATATTAATTTGAATACAGGGTATGTCACGACGAGCTTACACTATCTTTATGTCGAGAATCAGTCGGGAGAAATCTATGAAAATGTGCATGCTTATATTTCAGAATACGCTCTCGTCATTTGAAATACTTTCGACTATGCAGTGTTGCCGCTTCTACTAGAAAATAGTAGCAACATTGATATTTCAGATGGAATACCCTGTATTTTATTGCATTTTCAGATTCTCCCTGGAGAGCTGATTTTATCGATGTATCACACTTGGGGTCTATCGAAAATTATTACAGAGATATCGGGTGTTCAAAATCGAGATTTTTCAACTTAAGGATTTTTTTGTGTCGAAACTACTTATTATCGGTCAGAACGGCTTACATGTCCCTATCTCAACCTTTGATTCACTATTTACTGATATTTAATCGGAACAGATACAGGGTGGTTCAAGATTCATAATTCTGATCACCCTGTATCTGTTCGTTACCACCGATACAACAAGGCCTGCATGCTCCGTGGGTGACGTCACTTAGTGAGGCCTAACCAGCGGCTCGAAACGACAAGCGCTTATAGCGCTATAAGGCGACCGCGTATTTCGATTTTAGGTTTAGATCATCATTGAGCCGATTTTGCTGTTTTTTGAAGGGCTTCCGGTTAAAAAAGGATGCCAGTCGTCAACTGAGCCCTTCTTCGCACCCCATTCGATTTTATTATGGAAAAACGAAGTTTTAAAGCAAAAACCAGGATAAAACACAAATATCCACCTACAGCAACCCATTCGAATTAAATATATTGGCAAAAATTGTGGTGAAGGTAAACTTCACACCTACTTATACAGGGCCCGCAGAACATAAACTTATTGTGAGATTGATCGAAAGAAAATTGTGGAAAATGTATTTTATTTTGATTGACATGCCGTTTGTTACAATTACCCATATTTATCTTGGAGAATTCCTATTACCTGAAAAAATAACCAGTGAGTGTTTTCAATTTTCTGTTGTTGGATTTTTCACCCAAGGGGATCGTTACACTTGAAACCGTAATTTTTAAGGGTAAAACTGCATTCATCATGCGATGGTTTTTTTTTGTGGAAATTTTTTTCGGTACTCACGTATTTTTGTCTGATAAACCGAATTTTATAATGGAAATGTGAACAAACCACTATTTATTGAGATATTTAAAGAAAAAGTTCGAAATTTCGCCTTCTTTCTCCCCTTGTGTTGGGGGCATTTGAAGCTACTTGCTCTTATTTTGTCATTGGACACTTTATATACTCATGATGTACTTCGATGGCACATTTTTATATAGAAAATTCATATTTAGTGAACAAGCATTCCAGATGACGACCATTTAATCAATAGTCAATCAAAATACGAGATGTCAAATGTCAATAGATTGCTTTCGAATAGCATTACACACGCCATTATTTTGAATGATATTTTTTCTTTTTTCACCAAATATGGATTAATCTCAAGAAAATCATATTTATAGTTGAATTATATATAAATTGTCCAATATGATGAAAAAAGAAGGGAAATTTGTTCTAAATGCCATCCAGAAGAAAAAGAAGGTGAAATTTGGAACTTTTTAGTCAAATATCTTCATGATAAATATCATGATAAATGCAGTTTTACCTTTTTAAGTAGAGTGTTTGTAGTTCATGTTAATATGATAGTTGCAATTTGATCATTGGAATGAATTCTGCATTCATTGCCACGAGGCAAATGACCGTTTTCAGAAAGAAATTTGAGAATGAGAATTAAAAATGCCCGTTTATTATGAACATTCAAGAAAATTTCCTCAAATTCAGAGATGATTTTGTTGACTATAATATACGAATACAAAACTAACTGCACAATCAAAGCTTTTTCTATTTTTCCTCCACTTATACTTTTTATGAGAGAGTAATTGTCTTCTATTATTAATTCATCATTATAAATTAAGCTCTGTTTACTACTGAACTTAGATGGAGTAAAATCCTCGCGGTGAATTGCATATACCCACATTTTCGATAGCTCCTCGTCCATCGGGAAACTAAAAGCATGAACTTTTGAACCACCCACATAATTCTCCCGACAAAAGGGAACACAACACTTGAAAGGCATTGTTATTTCGCCGATCACAAAACAAAATATTTCACAAAACAGTAATTTTTCCGCCAATTATTCTGATGAATAAACAACAAACGAATTCGGGACCGTTTCAAAAACATACGTGAATCACCGATGAATTAACAGGAACTGACGCGTTAGTCGACAAGCGATAAAATAAAACACTGTCCTCTCTTGGTGACGTCACGAGCTGTTTACGTCAGCGTCTGCTGGCCTTGTTGTATCGGTGGTAACGATCTGTTCCCATTAAATATCAGTAAATAGTAAATCAGAAATTGACATAGGGAAATGTGAGCCGTTTTGGCCGATAATGAATAGTTTCGACACAAACGAATCCTAAAGTTGAAGAAACTGATTTGTAACATACTATATCTCTGTAATCATTTCCGATAGACCCCAAGTGTGATGTATCCATGAAATCAGCTCTTCAGGGGAATCTGAAAATGCAATAAAATACAGGGTATTCCATTTGAAATAACAAAGTTGTTGCTACTTTTTGATAGACGCGGCAACACTGCACTGCTGAAAATATTTGAAATGAAGAGAGCATATTCTAAAATATAAGCATGCATATTTTCATGGATTCCTGCCGACTGATTCTCGATATAGAGATAGTGTAAGCTCGTCGTGACATACCCTGTATAATAGTATATTATACACCTAGGGTGAAAAGTGAACTATTAAATAGCAAGCACTTTTATATCAAGAGGTGCCAAGCGCGAGCTATATTATATCATTCTCACCCGAGGTATATATAATATTTTTTCACTAACAATGCTGTAGATATCCTCAGACGTTCTATGAATAATATTGAAAACTATTTACATAAAAATAAATTGAAATTGAATGCAAACAAAACAAAAGTTATGGTGATAACAAAATATAAATTGAGCTCTATTGATTACAATGAATAAATAAAATTTGAGATTTATAGCACTGCCTTGGAATATGTGTCTGAAATAAAGTATCTGGGAGTTATCGTAGACAACACACTGAGTGTGGATAGTCATGCTGAGTATATCATAAAAAAAAAATTCGAAAAAATTATTGGACTATTCACTCCAGAATATTAACATATAATTGCATAATTAAACCCAATTTTGAGTACTGCCCAACTTTAATGCATTTGATTAACCAAAATACGGTTTCCCAACTTCAAAAACCCCAAAATCGGGGCATGAGAATCATTTTCAGATGCAGTCGTTATACTTCCATTGATCATATGTTAAATATGGTACAATGGCTGTCGATTTCAAATCGATTATTTTTTTCAACAATGGCTTTTATATTTAAAATATCCAAAGGTCTTCAACCAACATATTTTAATGAATTTTATGTTTTCAATGACCCAATACATGAACACGAGACAAGATCAAATGCATATTTTCATGTATATAGAACTCATACTGGTGGTTGCATGAAACATTTATTCTTCAAGGGATTACGGGAATTTGATAATTTACCAAATGCCATTTAAGAGGCAAATACTGTGAAAGGGTTCAAGAGTAAATTGTTGGAATATCTAGCACGTTAGTTGGTTAAAATTATGTATGAGTATGTGTGTATTTCATTATATCAATGTTTTTTTATTTCTCTCATTATGTATCTTCGTTTGTACTATTTTGTCGTCTTCATTTTTATTTTGATTACTGTCATTTACTTTCAGATTTCATATTATTTATATTCAGATTTGAATTTTATTGATATTTCTGGCACTGTGGGGAACTCTAAAGTATCATTATGTATTTATTGTAAGATTAGGATATATCCTATAATAAATTTCTATTCTTCTTCATTCAAGCACTGAAATATTAACATCTTTGTCAATTCAGATTTTCATTTCCAATGAAGGAGCAATGCCATTCACCGTGTATATTCAGCATGTATTAAAAGTATTTAGAAATAAATGATTTCTTGAATATTTGCTCGTTAGTTTACATGCAATGCGCGAAATATGTTTTTCGTCCACAACTTCGCGCACGGTGTCGTGGTAACGTAGGACACTGAGAAAAATGTCACCTGGCATTTCGTTATCAATACGAGAAACTTGTCATTTTTGACGATTGTAGAAAAATTACCTATAAATCAAAATCAAGTACTTCTATAATTTTCTTTGAAAAAGCAAGAATGTATATACCACCCTTTACACAACGAAAAAATTGTGTTAACTGAATCAAATACCAAAACCAAACAAGGAGATTTACAAGCGATACAAGCGCGCTGATTGGCCGGGATCAAAGCAAGCGGATGAAGCGCGCTGAAAATTCTCGTTCGTGCTGAAGAACGATATATCATGCGCGCACGAAAGATTTATCGTGCGCGAACTTTCCTGAAGGTTCCCCACAGCACGAAGGGAATGTTCATAAATGAAAATATGTACAGGGTTATCCATCGAACAGGCTCACCTCTATATCTACCTTATTTTTTTATCGAGAAAGAAAAACAATATGCCGACGTTAAATGCCGCAATGAGGCCTTTCCACACCCCTTATCAAAAGTTTTACAGAATGGTCCCTGAAAGCGTGATATTTTGGTGGTGATTGTGTGTTAGAACAATTAAATGAAGTATTCAGTAGAGTGACCAGTGTCATTCTCCATTGGCTTGCGATGTTGAGGGGTACAAAAAGGGCCTTTATTCGGGAAAAGGATTTCAGGGCTTATTTTAAATAACTTTCGTATCAGAATCAGCAACCTCCCAATTCATATTTTTAAGATCCCAAGAGTTGAAAGACATTTAGGTGGAATACGTTACAAACAAATTAAAAAGTGTTTCCCAAAAGGGGGCAAAATATAGATTACATTGTGTTATCACATCATCAAGTTCACTTCAACACGACATGTCGCAGCGACAATGGCTGCTTAACACAAGGTAATCTATATTTTGCCCCCTTTTGGGAAACACTTTTAAATTTGTTTTTAACGTATTTTACCTAAATGTCGTTTGTTTTAAACTGGACTAAAGATATTTTTGTGGACGAATTTTCCTGTTAACCTGACGAGTACGCACTGATGATGACTTAACAGTCGAAAGCGCTCTGCTACAAATATTGAATAAATTATTTTGCACGAAATACAAATCTTCCCTTCTTTGGTATATATTCACGTGCACACAGCCCAGCAACCCTCACTAATATCCTTTGTCCCAATAAAGGCCTTTTTTTGTACCGCTCAACATCGCAATGGTGAATGAAACTGTTCACTCTGCTAAACACTCCATTGTTTTAACATACAATCACCATCAAAATTTCACGAAAATCGCATCATCAATAAGTGAGATATTAGGGTGTATTCATGAAAAGCGGGACACGTTGTCTATATTTTTGTGATCACACAAATTCACAGATTCCAAAAACATATAAAAACAGGATGCTCCATTTAAAAAATGTAGTTGTAGTTTGTCACGCTTTTAAAGATCAACCTGTAAAACTTCTGATAAGGGCTTCGGAAAGGCCTCATTGCGGCATTCAACTTCAACTTTTTTTTCGAGATTAAAATATAACGTTAATATAGGGGTGGACCTTTTCGATAGATAAGCCCTGTACACACTATTTTATTATTTGTACCAAAGAATTCAGCATGCAACATAGAGAAAATAGAAAGTCAATCCATAGTTTGATGTTCTGAAAATTATAAGGTTTACACTGGGCCTTAAAAATTTAAACCAATAAATAAAATGGGACAATGACAGAATAGATCGCAAGTTCAAAATTGATCGAGACTCTTTGATAAAATGTACGTTATCTTTCAATCACTCTTAACGTCCGGCAGCATTGCAAAAACCATTGATCTTCGGTGCTTCCGACCTTGTCGAAAGGAAACGATCAAACCGTTAACCTCAATCAATGATCCAACAAGGTGTAGCTTCATCCCTTATACAATATAAAAATCTTGAAATGGTTGATATGTAGAGTAGGAGGTTGACAGGGCATTGAAAAATTTTATGCAAAGAATAGATGTACAAAAATGAAAATCGACCTGTCCGAGATTTCTACAAACGTCAAAAAATGACAAGGTTCGCGCATTGATAACAAATTGCGAAGTGACACTTTTTTTCAGTTTCCTACGTTACCATGATACCTTGCACAAAACAATGCGAGAAGTAAAACAGTGCGCGAAGTGCCTACTGCACTTCGCGCATTGTTATGTAAAATATATGAGATCTTTATATTTCAACTTAATGGTCCTCAATCGAGCGAACATCCACGAACTCATTTATTTCTGAATGTTCAATAATAACTTTGATTTCTTGAAGCGCACGAAAGGAAATTCCTATTATATTCGTGAAACATCGTGCTTACCTAGGGAGGATAGGGGGAGGCCTTTTGAGCCAGTTCAACACTATTTTTTATATCAAGCTGAGCATATTTTTACTTTAGAACTATATTTTTTGTCGTTTGTAGAAAAAATGTTGTTTGCAACTCGAGCGCGAAATACTTTGGTCATCTGGACTATTTTTTTAACTCGGCTACGGCTCGTTAAAAAAGTACGATATCGATCACCAAAGTAGCATTTTGCACTCTAGATACAAAAATAACTATTTGACAAGGCTATACAAAAGTAGACCGAAGTGTTAACAGTTAACACCCTCTGGGTAATAATATTATTTCAGTCTGCTTCGCAACAAATGTAGGTACCAAAAGGAGCTGGTAATTTTGCCAAGTGTACAGTTTATACCACACTGACCAAGAGTATTTAGTGAAAGTTGAAATATAGTCATTAGTAAGTTAACCAAGACTCGGTTTAAATAAACGTGGCCACTGCTGAAACTCTGCGTACTTTTGGAGTATCAAGCGCATCGAGGTCAGGAAAGAACTCGCTTAGCAAGTGAAGGTTTTTATTTCTTCTTATGTGCTTCTTGTGCTGAATTTGCTCATGAAGGGTAATACTCACCAATAGTTTCTTAACTCTATCCTCAATCAGTATACTCTCAGTTGATTCATCGCCGAGTTGTTCGCTATTCTGTTGTGTATCCTTATTTATGGCACTACAAAAAGAAACGTTCATTTATTATTAATAAATGCCAAGGTTCGACCAAGATATAAACATTTACCATGTCTTCAACTCAGTAGGAGTGGGATCAAGATGGGTTTTGGGATTTGTCAAGGAAGATTTTGGGAATAGGTCACATACGATTAATCCAGATTTTCCTGTTCTACTTTTTTGTTTTCTTTTCACTTTGTTTGATGCCCTATAACTAAACAATAATTATCAAACAATTATCACTGTTTCATCCTCCTAATTTGCTCCTTAATGCTCCTAATTTGATGAAATAATGTTCATTCAAATAATATTTGTGTGAAAAACAATTAGGAGCTTCTGATGAACAAGGCCCCACATCGACTGCACGCTCCAAGACGCATGATGTCACTTGATGAAATAGTTCATACATAGTAGGAACAGGATACCAAAGGAGTCGATCTCATCAACTCGACTTTTGTAATATAAAAAATGTATTTCAGAAAATAAGAAAAGGGTGACCTGATAGAAAAAATCCCACCCTGTCTATGAACAATGCATGATGCATGACATGTTATTCCATTTTCTATACAATCACTAGTGAGTTTACCAAAAATATGTTACGTCATAGATACATAGGTAGGAAGCGCCATTTTTAAGTAAATTTATGTGATTGGAGAAAAAAATCGGTGCCAGAGCTCCCCTACCATTCCTTCCTTCTCCACCTGTCTTTGATGAAAGAAAAAATGGAGAACAAGAATGGAGAGTGTTGAAAGAAACTTGGGAGTCATTCAGAGATATTATACTGGAGGATGCAAGAGGAAGCTGCGAAGCTACATAAATTGCGAACGGTACCATAAAGAAAAAGAGAGAAATGAGGGGTATATCTAGACACAGGCAGAAATGATTATTACGATAATAGGTATACTGAGGGAAATAAAGAAGATCAAAGGGAGTGAAAAATGCATATTACAATAATTATGGGTCCGAAGGTTATTCTATGGTACTCTGAGACAGGGCGAAAGGGATATAATCAGTATTAAAGACAAAATGTGTTTATGGGGGAGAACATAAAATGATGTAAAGGAGGAGACAATGATTTGTAGAAATGACAAACAATTATCTAAATTATGAATAAAAAAGGTTACACAGTTTCTTCCTCAGATTTCAGTGAACAGGCGCGAATCCAACCTGAGTAATTAAAATTTGTATTTTTCCCAGAATGTGAGCAACAGTTATTTTTCGTATCTAGAATGCGAAATGATACTTCTGCATTTATGAATGGGAGTTATTTTGCCCAGCTTCAGTGAGTAGAAGGTCGAGCCTTTGATTGTGTTCAGCATGATATATTGTTAGATAAATTTTATATAATTGGTAAAAGAGGGTTACCATATGGTTGGAATCATACTCAACAGACAGAAATCAAATTGTGAAAATCAATCACCATAATGATAGAAATACAAAAAAATTTCAACAGTTTTAAATAACAATATTGGAGGATCAGTTTTGGGACCAGTACTTTTTATTATTTACATCAACGAGCTGCCAGATCTTCTCAAAGAGACGTTTGTCACACTATTTGCAGATGGCTCAACCGCTCAACCTTTCTATTAAATGATAAAACAGATGAAAGTCTCAAAGATAACATTGACACAACTATTAATCATCTTTGTAACTGGTTTAGTGGAAATTCTTCATATTTCAATGCTTCTAAAACAAGAATTAAAAATTACAGTTAATAGTAAAACTTTGACTGCAATAGATAAAGCAGTTTTCTTAGGATTAACAATTGATGAATTGTTTAGGTTTAGGGTTTTCGGTCCCCACAAAACTGTACTGCGCCCCCCTTTATGGCATTAAATAGTACCCTCAATGCTTCCCGTCATAGATTGTTGCTTGTTTGGATTTTTCAATTTAAAAGCCTGACAACCCTTATTCATGGACGGATTTTCCAAGGCAACCATATACCACTGTATTTGTTATGAAACTGCCTTCATTTTGAAATATTACAAGTGGTAAGCATATTGATGCAATTGATGCACACGGCAACCAGGTAATATTGTATGCTTTCCATTAGAAATTCATTCATTTGGCAAGCAAGTCGGTGGAAAACATATTTTTACATTATCAGAAACATATTTTATTCGATGAAATATTATTTTCATTCGGTAAGCAGATGAGTGAAGGTCGACCTTACTTGGGATCTTAGACCAGTGTGAAAATAGAAACGGTCTCCGTATCGGAAACGAAATGATAGTATATGCGCACAGGTGTAAAAGGTTATTACATCGATTCTTCCGTTTTAACATTCAGATATCGACTGAAACCATTGCGATCCAAATGTTTTGCGTCAATATGATGATTATAATGATGAATTGGGGTATACACACAAATAGGGTGCTACTACCCCTATATATAGATTAATAGCTTCAGAACTAATCAAAACAAAATTAACTCATCGTTTTTGAAAATCTATATTCGATAGGATATCCCAAAACTCACCCTGGAAACCACCCCCGAATAGATGAAAATTACGTAAAATTATGTGAAATGATCGTTTCTGAAAATTTTTTTCTGACAATATCATCAGAACGAACAGAGAAAACATACCTACCCTGTTTCAGAATTTGTATCCCAAAACTCACCCTGAAAACCACCCCCGAATAGATGAAAATTACGTAAAATTATGTGCAATAATCGTTTCTGGAATTTTTTTTCTCACAATATCATCAGAACGAAGAGAGAAAAAATACCTACCCTGTTTCAGAATTTGTATCTCAAAACTCACCCTGGAAACCACCCCCGAATAGATGGGAATTACGTAAAATTATGTGCAATGATCGTTTCTGAAAATTTTTTTCTCACAATATCATCAGAACGAACAGAGAAAACATACCTACCCTGTTTCAGAATTTGTATCTCAAAACTCACCCTGGAAACCACCCCCGAATAGATGAAAATTGCGTAAAATTATGTGAAATAATCGTTTCTGAAAATTTCTTTCTCACAATATTATCAGAACGAACAAAGAAAACATACCTACCCTGTTTCAGAATTTGTATCTCAAAACTCACCCTGGAAACCACCCCCGAATAGATGGAAATTACGTAAAATTGTGTGCAATGATCGTTTCTGAAATTTTTTTTCTCACAATATCATCAGAACGAACAGAGAAAACATACCTACCCTGTTTCAGAATTTGTATCCCAAAACTCACCCTGAAAACCACCCCCGAATAGATGAAAATTACGTAAAATTATGTGCAATAATCGTTTCTGGATTTTTTTTTCTCACAATATCATCAGAACGAACAGAGATAACATACCTACCCTGTTTCAGAATTTGTATCCCAAAACTCCCCCTGAAAAGCACCCCCGAATAGATGAAAATTACGTAAAATTATGTGCAATAATCGTTTCTGGAAATTTTTTTCTCACAATATCATCAGAACGAACAAAGAAAACATACCTACCCTGTTCCAGAATTTGTATTTCAGAACTCACCCTGGAAACCACCCCCGAATAGATGGAAATTACGTTAAATCATGTGCAATAATCGTTTCTGAAAATTTTTTTCTCACAATATCATCAGAACGAAGAGAGAAAACATACCTACCCTGTTTCAGAATTTGTATCTCAAAACTCACCCTGGAAACCACCTCCGAGTAGATGAAAATTATGTGAAATCATCGTTTCTGGAAGTGTCTTCCCTGTCTTCCCCACAGTATATTCTAAACGAAGAGAGAAAACCTCGGAGAAAACATACCTTTTTCAGAATTTTTATGTCAAAACCTTCCTTGGAAACTATCTCCGTTGTGTTATGCTCATGCAACATCATTCAAAATGATCTGAGGAAATGATAATAAACATATCTTCAAATCTCGCGGTTGCGTGTTTAGTCAAATTGTACACATGACTCACTCAGCTCTTGGCGCGAAAACAGGTTGTACCTCCCTGGCACTTCTGGGACTTTTTGTTGATGCTAATTTTCCATTCTTTGGTGCACCTCCTGATGGTTTGGTTGAATTTTCAGAAATGAAAATATATGGAATGAGATGATTCCAAAGTTGATTAAATTCTAAAGAGAGAGTATTCTTCCAGAGATAATTGATGCTAGGTACCAAGAAAAATGAAAATTATTCAACGAGAAGACGAATGAATATATTGAAGTTGTACTTCAAATATTTATATAAAAATATTTTACTGAATAAAAATAAAATTGAATACCAATTAATGACACTATATTGCTCGAAGATTATGCAAATCAGTTTCAAAACATGAGTTTTTTTCACTGGAAGTGGTAGTTGTACCTGTTGGCAAGTGTAGGGAGGAGCTTAATACGTCCAATACGTCCAATAATTTCCAGAAACGATTATTTTCGAGATTATTTTACATAATTTTCATCTATTCGGGGATGGTTTCCTGGGTGAGTTTTGAGATACAAATTCTGAAACAGGGTAGGTATGTTTTCTCTGTTCGTTCTGATGATATTGTGAGAAAAAAATTTTCAGAAACGATCATTGCACATAATTTAACGTAATTTCCATCTATTCGGGGGTGGTTTCCAGGGTGAGTTTTGAGATACAAATTCTGAAACGAGGTAGGTATGTTTTCTCGGGGGTGGTTTCCAGGGTGAGTTTTGAGATACAAATTCTGAAACAGGGTAGGTATGTTTTCTCTCTTCGTTCTGATGATATTGTGAGAAAAAAATTTTCAGAAACGATCATTGCACATAATTTAACGTAATTTCCATCTATTCGGGGGTGGTTTCCAGGGTGAGTTTTGAGATACAAATTCTGAAACGAGGTAGGTATGTTTTCTCGGGGGTGGTTTCCAGGGTGAGTTTTGAGATACAAATTCTGAAACAGGGTAGGTATGTTTTCTCTCTTCGTTCTGATGATATTGTGAGAAAAAAATTTTCAGAAACGATCATTGCACATAATTTAACGTAATTTCCATCTATTCGGGGGTGGTTTCCAGGGTGTGTTTTGAGATACAAATTCTGAAACGAGGTAGGTATGTTTTCTCG